GGGGGGGGGGGGGGGGGGGGGGTCCAAAATATTTCAATCCCCCTATCTTCTACAAATTTTTTAATTTTTATCGGCTCAACAAAATTCAACGGAATTGTAAATGTAGGTGCTCCTGGGGATGCTTTACCTATTAAAAAAAAAGGAAAAAAAATAAATAAATTGGGGATGGGGTTTGGCGGGCCCCAAACCTCTGGTCGGGCAGGGTCCGAACCCTGGCTCGAACCCCAGAATGTCCGGGGGGGAGTCCGACCCCACCCCCCGAAGGTTCAGGGCGGTAACCCTGCGTCCGATTATTTGGGAGGCAGGTATGGTGTCAATCCCAAACGACGGAAGACGGTTTAGCTGTCAATCCCCTGCCGGCAATTGTCTCTTTACCATTCCCACCCCCTATTCACACCTACTTCAAGTTCCTTAACGATCTCCACAGCTAAAAGCACCGCACTCAAAAATACAGGGCAACACAATTCAAGAGAATCTCTACCCCCTGGCTTCCTTACATACCGCCATCCCTTGTCCCACCCTTGCTGAAGTTAGGAATTACCTATGGTGTCAATGCAACTGAGGGGAAGGCAGCTTCAGTGTCAATCCCTATTCCGGGGTGACCCACTTGCCTTCTTCCTTCGCCCACCCAGCCCCGCGAAGAGCACTATGAGATCCTCAAAAACCATCAGAGGAACTGCAGATCTCCGCTCTGTCCACCTGTCCGCACGCTGTCCACTCTTCTCATCATTCCGAACGCTCTTACATTGGAGACGGAGCTTCGTCATCAATCCCCTACCAGCAACCCTCTCACGGCCGTTCGCAACCCCACAATCCCGACACCACTGGATCACCCTGACAACAACATCAGTCAATTATGCCAATTGCATGCAGATGAGGGGAGAAACCAGTCCATAGTCATGCATCCATCGAGTGTGCTATCACGGTCACAACTTCTCACAAGCACGAGGAGTCCATTAAAAAACTGCATGCCATCGCCAACTACTTTGGATGAAAACAGACCTCATGCTTTTTTTTTTTTTTTTTTTTTTAACATCCACTGGCTGTACTATGGGAGGTGATATGAGCATCCCCCGGTAGTATCAGCCAGGAGATGGCTCCAGTCTATTGGTGGGGAGCAACACCTGCTGGAAATCGGGTCCAGCATCTCCTAGAGAACAAGGATAGGACTGGGGCCATTACGCAGCTTTGGCTATTGGGGAGGGGCCACCGCAACCCCGCTGGGGGACACCAGGGCAGCCACCTTTGCTTAGAAAATTGAGATTTGCATCCCTGATGACTGTTGGGAAGTCCACGGGAAGAAGAGGTCCCTGGTAGCCTCCCTTCACTGCTGCTTCTCCTGCTGTTCGCTGTCCTGTTGATTGCAGTGAACTGCAGAGTGTTGTCATCGTGCTGCATTCTCTGTTATGCTGCTCCTGCTGCTCCCACTGCTTCAGCCACAGAGCTCTCTGATTGCCTTTCTGCCAAGGATAACGGGTGTGGCGGGAAGGGATCCAGGAAGGTTGCTGCAGGCCAGAGGGGGATGCCGGGGTCAATCACAGTGCAGGCCTCATGCTATCACACACTTTTTTTTTCCCGTCTTCTGAAACAAAGGCGGACGCAGCAGGTTTTGAGTTCGCAAAGGCAAAAAGAACATGCACCCACAAAGATATCACGGGGCAAGTTTGAAACGGCAATTTGGGTAGAAAAGAATCCGTTGGGCTTTTTTTTCCCCCCCTTTCCCCGTCTGACAACACGGGCCGACCCCTGTAGTTATGACACCCGGCCTGACACCATGGCCGTTGGTACTTTCATTGCTTTTTCCGAACTCGGTGCCTGTTTTCTTTGCCGGCGCGTGTTTTTTTTTGCTCATTCTATACTCAAAAGTGACATCAACGTGCTTGCCCCTTTTTTTATTACCAAGCTCCAATGCTGTCACACACTTCAAAACTTGATTAAAGATCACCCTCCCCCCCATGGTTCCAAAAACAATGGGCAATCTTCCGTACATTAGGCGCCATACACAGCAGTACCTCCACTCTGGTAGGGGCAGCAACATCTGCTGGAAGGGAGTAAAAAGACTCAATCAATGTGGCAGTCTGCCGCTGTCCCGCATGACTGCATTAGTGCCTTTCTCCCCAACCAACAATCTTCACCTGCCACGGTCAGTCAGGCCACCAGGACTGGTCTCCACCACTCCTATCAGTCCGCTTGCGAGCCTGCCGCAGCATTGGCTTGTAGCTTCGAACATGTTGTGCCTACATTTGGCCGGGAGGAAGTGGGGTTAACTCTGTCAACAGCTTCAGAGTTCCTTTCTCGCTTACTGCAATCCTAGCCGATTCCCTGTCCCGGTTTTCCAGGAAACAAAGCAAAAGAAGGTGGGCTGGCTGGAGGCCGGCCCGAACAGGGCCCAGACAGGCTCTGCCATGTTCCCTGATGCGAAATCCACAGTCTTGCGTTTGCACGAAGGGCCATGTTACAGTGTGAAACACGCATGATGAACCGACTGTCTGTTCAGGGATGACAGTAAAAGAGTCGCCTATATGCAAAATGCAGGTACCAAATTAGAATTATGCTGCTCTTAGACTACGTATTGGCTGCAGTAGCCTCAGACGACTGCATGTGGGCCAGAATCCTATCAACAGATTTGAAGGCCTCCAAGCAAGCGCTTAATTTGTAGCGCTCCCAGCCACGACAGAACTGGCAACCGGCAAAATGAACGGTGAACGATGGTCCTTCATCAGAGGAAGACCGATTTGCACCAGTGGTGTTCGCCCACTTCTGCCAACTGGGAACCGCGTTTGCCCAGTAAGCATTGAAGTAGAAAGAGTTCTCAAACTGAACTTTTCTCCGCCATTGTTTCTCATTTGTCCGTAGCAGATGCAACAATACCTCCTGGTCTGCAAACATTATAATGTCCGAGATGGCATCATCCATCTCCTCCCTCAACTGCATGTCCCAATCTCTCCACCTCCTCTGCGCTGCCATCAATCCTCTCATCAGCTTTCTTGACCAGTCGGACTCCCTGAGCATAAAGATACCAGAATTGATTCCACGAAACGAAGCATTCTGATACACCATCCTGTCGCTGCCCCACAAAACAAGGTCAACATCCTTATCAGCTTGATAGCGAGGCCAAGGAAGGGGGAAATGTAGCTGCATAATAAATGCATCTGCGTCCATCCACATGAACCACTCGTACTCCTGGTACCTCGTCATCGACTGGGAGACGACATCCCACTTGGCGAAATACCTATGTGCTTCCATTTGCCCCATTGTGTACAGCATATCCATATTTGGATGATGAGCAATGTAGGTTCCCCGATTTCGTAGAGTCCTCTGAAAGACTTCAGTCCCGTTTCTCAAAGTACAGAAGGGTTGGTTTACAGTCACCATTAGAACAAGGGGCAGCGGCTCGTCTGCCTTTGCACCCTCCGCAGCAGCAGGAGACTGCATCACATAGGTATGGTTCATCTTGCCCAGTTGTGAAATACCTCCTCTGCTCTCCTGTTGTTTCTGCTCTCGATCTTGATGAACCCATCGATGGATGTAGTAGCCTGTGCCAGGGTCTTCTTTCAGGTACATCAAGCCAGGAAAGGCGTTACCCAAACTCTCCGCATATCTGTCCTGCATTTGAAGATCAGGATGTACCAGGCCTGCATAGAAAGGTTTGCACTTTTGGCCATCAACAATCGTCTGAAGTGCTCGCAATAGGGATGATGAGGATGAGGATGAGGATGCTGCTGCTGCTGCTGCTGCTGCTGAAGATGATGATGATGATGATGCCAAGGGGGAAGAAGAAAGAAAGGAGGAGAAGGTGAACAGGGGGTATGAGGAGGACGCTCCTAAGCCAAATGATGTAGTTAACCCAAACCACGGTTCAACGAACTGAATCATGATGAGGACTGCAATGATAGCAAATATATACCGCCTTGATCTGCGTGCGCATCCACCCAATGGCATGAAGCTGCCATGACGAAAGGGGGCCATCGTATGACTTCACCAATGGCCAAAGACTGACAAAATGTGTTATTGCCTGGCAATGCCTGCCAGAAAAGAGATGAATTGCAGGTGAGTACTTTCTGACACATTACTAAATCTACTCGAGCTTTCGATCTAGTGTGCACTCGTCGCTACATATACTGCTCTACGATGATAAATATGAAAGCCATTCAGGATATTGAAGATTGATATGGCCGACGTAAACAGAATACACACTTGCACACATTAACTACCTCGGTCTGAACTCACCGTAGTGTACCGGCTTTAGGTCCGCTTAACAATCAGGAAGGACGGAGGCCTCTATGGGAAAATATGTTGACACCGAGAAAAAGAAAACTCTGCCCCTCGTCTTCTCAGGAGGGAGCCCCTTCATTGTTGCTCAATTCCGGTCAGCAATAATGTGTACCGACCTGAAACCACAAATGCAATGATTGCATCAGTCACCGACACAGAACATGTGTATGAAGCCTGACAACACACAAGTCTTGGAGTGCTAGCCAGCAAACAGAAGAGAGCATCACTGTCCATATTCTGGTACCAGATGTCTCAAAAAGCAGATGTATCATGACACGAATAGATTGGAGCACCGTGTTCTTTTTGACAACAACAACAACAGCATACAAAAATAGTTTAAAATACCATCTCGTTAAAGCACCTGTACACCACACATCGGTCCTCGAGTGTCAGCATGAAACCCGCACCACTTCGGAGGCCGCCAATCTTTTTTTTCAACGGCGTCCCTGGCCGCGCGACGCCTCTTGAGTTTGGCTTGTGGCGACAAAAAACTCTCTGCAAGGCTGGGGCCGTGTACTAGCTGTTTAACACCTATGTTGGGCAGACGCCCAGCAGAAGTCTCAATAAGCAGATGTATCATGATACCAGTAGATCGGAGGATTGTGTCTTTTCTGACAACAATGAGAAGATAAAAAATATCATTCCACTAAAACCTATGCTGGGCAGGCACCTAGCTGGGCATGCCCAGCCAGGAACACCTGGTCGAGGAGACAGGGCACACTCGCCCAAAAAAAACAGGGAGGTCATCAACAGGAAAAGCATTCAAGAAACAAAATTCCAAATCCAATGACAACATACGAAAATAACATTCCACTCAAACCTATGCTGAGCAGGTGCCCGGCTGGGCATGCCCAGCTACGAACACCTGGTGCAGGAGACAGGGCGCGCTCGCCGGGGAAACCGGGCAGGTCATCAACAGGGCAAAGCTTCAAAAAACAAATTCTGGGTTCAGGCCAGGATTGTGCATGTCATGGTTCGTGATTGTTTTGGGGAACATGTGCCGACCTGAACGCTGGGCTAGGGTAGACAGTAAAACGAGGCGCTTTCTTTCGACCCACCTATAGGGTATGTAGAGGGGTGCCATGTGTGCTTGGACTGGGTATCCGGTACGGTTGGTCAATAAAGTTATTTAAGTCCTGGTGTTACATCTTGGATTAAGCAACCGATGATAGAAGGATAGCAGGCTGAGAATAGTATGGGCAGAAACCTTAATTGTGCCAAGTTTGGGCACGGTCTACGACCAGGAAGGTCTAGAACTTGGTGAGACTAAGCCCATTGCCAAGTGGGTGTGCTGCACGTGATGTGGAGGCACCACTGTATGCTGAAGGGTATGGGTACTCGTATTTGTTTGTAATATTGTAGGTAAGTGTAACTAAGAGAGTTATATACCAGGTCCGATAGTCACTTCGACCTCCGAGATTGCCAGCATGTTCCCAGGACACATCACTGGTTGACAGGCGGTACATCACGGTGGAACTTGAGATTGAAGGCTAGTGGGAGTTGGGAATTTCAAGTTGGTGCAGCTTTGGGGATGAAGACAAGAGGTGGACAGGGAAACCCCCTGAAGAGGCCGTGGCAAAGGCCAAGACGCCTTGGGGCCTCGCATGCGACCCGTTTTGCCCGGATGGATGTCCAGCCAAATGGCACCGCGCTACTTCCAGAAAGTCGCGGCTGTGAACGCGCTGCTGCTCTGGAAAAACAGCATGGTTACGCCGGACCCGGACCCGGACGCAGCGGGACGTCCGGCCAGACTGACATCCAGAAAAATCCCGACGTCTAAAATTTAATTAAAAAAAAAAAAAAAAGAGGAAGAAGAAGAAGTCACAGAAGGTCACAGACAGGGGGTGAATCTGGCCATACCTACCTCTAGGCAGTACCCAACCAGTGCACCTCTCTCTCTCTCTCTCTCTCTCTCTCTCTCTCTCTCTCTCTCTCTC